GATAAAGTTTGGAATAGAATTAGTAAAGTTATATGCACACAATACAATTATAACGACGACGACAACAACGACGACGACGACGACGACGACAACGCTTGACAAAATTTTTCCCTTAATATACCTTTCCCTTCCATCTTTGATGGTACGGGCAAGGTAAAAACAAATTGAATGGCTTTTGCGTGGTCAAACATTGTGAGCGAGCACAAAATTGACAAATACCTGTGTTGTTGTTGTTGATGTTGTTGCGTGTGGTCATGAGGGGATAATTCGAAACCTGGCTAGCTGGTGTATGTGGTCTAGAACCAGGATTACCAATCTTTGGCTGCTGAGTCAGCGCCATCTCTGGGTTGACATGTTTAGCATCTTGGACCTGTTCTTCACCATTGAACTGGGAAAAAAAATGTATCAAGAAATGAAAGAAGGTAGTACCACATAATGTACAATTTATATTTGTTAATTTTCAACAATAGGACAAAAAATCAGAAGAAATGAGAAGAGAAGAGGAAACCACAATACACATCACAGTATCACCAAGTGTTAAAAGAAATTTGCAAGAATGACCATCTTTTTGATGAACACTCAAATATTACAGCATTGCGAAAGATTGCATGTACATATAGAAGTCCTAATCTTAACATAATTTGCATAATTTCCAAGCATAACATAATTTGCATAGTTTCCAGGCATAACATAATTTGCATAATTTCCAGGCATAACATAATTTGCATAATTTCCAGGCATAACATAATTTGCATAATTTCCAAGCATAACATAATTTGCATAATTTCCAGGCATAACATAATTTGCATAATTTCCAGGCATAACATAATTTGCATAGTTTCCAGGCATAACATAATTTGCATAATTTCCAGGCATAACATAATTTGCAGGCATAACATAATTTGCATAATTTCCAGGCATAACATAATTTGCAGGCATAATATAATTTGCATAGTTTCCAGGCATAATATAATTAGCATAATTTCCAGGCATAATATAATTTGCATAATTTCCAGGCATAATATAATTTGCATAGTTTCCAGGCATAATATAATTTGCATAAGTTTCCAGGCATAATATAATTTGCAGGCATAATATAATTTGCATAGTTTCCAGGCATAATATAATTTGCAGGCATAACATAATTTGCATAGTTTCCAGGCATAATATAATTTGCATAGTTTCCAGGTATAATATAATTTGCATAGTTTCCAGGCATAATATAATTTGCAGGCATAACATAATTTGCATAGTTTCCAGGCATAACATAATTTGTATAATTTTCGGGCATACACAATTTGCACAATTTCCAGTCATAACGTAATTTGCATAATTTCCAGGTATAACGTAATTTGCATAATTTCAAGGCATAACGTAATTTGCATAATTTACAGGCTCACACATTTAGGGACTGTACTTATGCAGGTTTCTAGAGACCAATTATTATGATTTTCAAACGACCCATGGCCGAGATCATTATACATTAATAACTTAATAAATCTTAGATACCTGGTTCAGGGACAAAGAAATTAACTGGTCCTGTGCTTGACGTCGGCATCATAGGAAAGAGATCAGGAGGCGGTGCCACTGCAGGCGTGGATTTTGTACCTCCAGGATTGAATACATCAACGTAGTTGTTCCTAGCAGCTACATAAATATAAAATAAGAGTGGACTAATTTGCATGAAATGTACTTTATTCAATATTTTCCCAGTAAATATTAGATTTTTGAACCTGACATTGTATAATATATGCCCTATTCCCTACCGTATATCATTTTGCATAGTGTAGCACTATTAAGACACGACGAATTTCTCGGCTGCACTTAATCCTGAATTCATCACCAATTCCAGAGAATATTACTTACTAAATTTTTCTTTTGGCCTTTGAAACCTGTTAGCACCAGGTGTTGATGCAGATGATGTTGGTGCACTAGAACCAGGAGTGGATCCACTGGATTTATTAAGCTCAAAATCAGTGGGTGGAGGTGGCGCCTGATCTGGTTCATCCATATCATCACCATCTTCAGCATTCACCCATTTCTTTTTCACAGGGTCCCACTGGATCTGAAAAGAAGAATTGCAGATAATTAAAAAGATGAAAAAACAATTCTTTGAATGATAAAGTCATCCCTGTTAAATTCAGACTGTTTACCACAAAGTTGAAGTTACAGCTGTCCAGTAATATTCCTTTTACAACAAGAACAACTACGACAATGACAAGGACTAGGACAGACAGGCATTCACTCGTATACCCCACCTATATCTAAGATTAAGGCAAGGTAAACACACTGCTGAAGGCAGAACACTTACACTTTTTGTGGAGTCATCTGGTAAGTGTACTTCTTTGCTTCGCCAACTACTGAATATCCCACCAAACCAGCTTCTTCCACCGGCCGACTTCTTGGGTTTATTCAATTTATCTTCCTTTTTGCCAGTGTCTCTCGTTCTCACATCGTGTTTGATCTGTGGTGGAGGTTGTTGCCTCGGCGGAACGAATGGAAATTTGGGTGTTTCCGGCGGTGTCAGTGGACTTTTAGGTGAGATGGTGCTTGGAGTGTGACTATCGTCATCGACACCCTGGTTCTGTAATTGCAATGAGATGATATAGATTATGTATGCAATGAATCCCCCAAAAAATAAGCTACATCAACAAAACTTTCTTCACACGTTAATTTTTAACTTTTGGGAGTCATTGAATTTTTCCTGCTAAATAAGTTTAGTAGTGTCCGGTGTCAGTAACGGCTAAAGTCTGACTAGGATTAGTATCTCACCTGTTGCACACTTACGTCATAGTAATCTAGCTTTGAAGCACCGCTATCGGCAAACTCAGATGTCTCTGCTCCTGATTCAGTCATCGATGTTGTGCTGTATTCACTGTTCATCGAGGCAGTGAGATCTACGTTCTCTTGTGGCTGTTGTGCCACTGCATTATACTGGAACTGCGAGAAGTTGAAGTTCGACTGCTGTTGCGCATGTTCACCGGGTGCGGAATGGTCAATTTGAGAAGCAGCACTGACCTCTTGCTGTACTGGCAAACCATGTGTGGATGCTGGCAAGCTAAGATGAGACTGACTACCACTCTGCTGAAAACCACTAGCAGTCATGGTGAAGCCTTGACCTGATTCAAGTAGACAAACAAATTTTAATTTTGGCAAGCTAAGATGAGACTGACTACCACTCTGCTGAAAACCACTAGCAGTCATGGTGACGCCTTGACCTGATACAAGTAGACAACAAAATTTTAATTTTTTTACGAGAACGGACACACGTTTACAATGACCAGATTGAGTGTTAATCGGCAATACAAGTTATGAGATTTTGGTATCCCTTAAGTGGTAAATGAAATTATTTTTTTTCTTTGGATCCTACACTTTGTATTACAATTTTGTAATGCCAAAACATGTAACACAGTAAACCCAATATGCGCTAGAAAGGGTTCACGAATATTATGGAATTGTATTATGGTACTGGTAGTATCTATTCAATTGCTAGTAAGAATTTTATTTACCTTACAAACTGAAAATTGACTCAAATTTTGTCAGTTGGCTCCAAAATTAGGGTTCATTTCCAGAAATATTGAAGAATTTAAAGAAAAGTGCAGAAACATTTGGGTGAGGAAGTCTGGTGTTGAAAAGGATAAACTGGAGAAAGCATGAGAATGTCATTTGTTAATTTTTTTTCCCCTAATTTGCTGGAATACAAAAAAAACCTGTTTCTCAACTTGTCTATTTCTTTAATTTCAAATTTATTTTATAATCACTTGTACGCCAGCTAACTGCACAACACGATCAGAAAAGCTAAATTGTACTTTTTGTCCAAGTTCAAAAATATTAGAAACAGCATTGAAGGGCGGCAGTCGTCGTGCCGCGTCCTGTTCGATATGGGACTCATAGCGACGTACACAACGCATGTAAAATACATTGTTTATTTACATTTACGACCCCCGCGCTTTAAGTCCGAACAAACCACCTTTTTATAATAATATACATCATGTATCAGATAACATTTTTCAAGTTTCATTTTAACCAATAATAAAACATGCAAGATGTGCATCAAACAGAGACCCCAAATTGGTTACTAATGAACCAAAGTTTGAAAACGATTGGATAAAAACTTAAACCACAAGAAATGGGGGTAACGACATACAACGACATAGACATTCCTACATGTTGGTAACTTTACAATGCCTACCTAGCCCAAGCTGTTCTACTGCCTTCTGTTTGAGCTCTGCCAAATGCTGCTGTGTCCTGTCCTGGTTGCCGACATCAGACATATCAAAGCTACCAATGTAGTCTTGGAGATTAGCAAACGAGTTGTCTACAGATAATCCTATTATGGGCGTGTCCAGACTTTCAACGCCGCTCAGGCTATTTGACGAATACACCCACGGCATTGGCGTAGCAGAGCTCGATCGTGGTTTGATCACTCCCTCCTACAAGAATGTTAGAAACTGATGGAATTAAGAATGTTGACTGTGTCGAAGTATGAAGATATTTAGAAATAATGAAAGCTTATAGTACATATCATACATATCACAATTGTTAATGATTCCAAGTCATCACATTACAGGTTATTTTTCCACCTGAAAATGTGTCTATTTTAATACAGGGTTCCTACTGTTCATCAAATGCATTTTAGATGCAAAACGACCATCCCGTGCTCATTGAATATTGCAAGTTTAACTATTTTAGATTTTTTTAGACTAATTTTGTTGTGAAGTTAAGAACTGCTTTAGCGACTAACTCCAAAAATATAAAAATGAAATTGTAAATTATGCTTTTTCTATATGCAGAAGAAATAATCATTCAGAATTGCTTGATTTTATGGTGAAATAGAGTATACTGCTCAAAAATGGTTGTGGATATCACATCAAGATGTGTTCAAGACATTCATATCAAACATGTCTAGTAGCTTTCAACAGTAGTTCAACAGTAGTCAAACAGTTAAAAATGTAAAAGTTGGAGTAAGACATTCAAAACATCAATTCTTTAGCTCAATAATGTGCATTCCAGCCCCAACATTTGGAATCAGCAACAGAGTATGTTTATAAACCAACAGCCATCATAAGTATGACGTTAGTGTCCTCAACATTCAAACATTAGCTAAAAAAAAAAACTTTCAAACAGTACAATTTTTGGAAGATCAATTCCAAAATCAACACAGGCCAACTATACCAGATTAACCATATGTACAATGTATAAGTGTGATAGCGATCGACTGAATATTATTATCACACCTATAAGACAAGCAGCCTGTCGACTGAGATAGCTCCGCTGTCAGCAATGCACATTTCAATTAAAGAACAGAAGATATCATTAGAAAATGAACAATATGCAAAGTATCAATGCAATGGGACTTACAGTTTTTAACAAGAATTCAAAAATATCATTTTTCACCATAAATGATTGTGGTTTTAAACAAGAAGTCGAAAATATCACTTTTTACCAAAAATGACAAAAATATTCACCAAAATTAGAGAATTGAAGATATCATTACAAAATGAACAAATCTGAGAGAGATTCACATGTAGTACCTATACATGTAATATCAAAGCAATTGGACTTGTGGTTTTTAACAAGTCGAAAATTGAACAAATCTGAGAGAGGTCTACCCAAGGTATATATACACCAAGTATCAAAGCATTTAGGCTTGTAGTTTTCAAGAAGAAGTCGAAAAAGTAAAACATTGACACGGACGACGACGGACAATCACTCATATGATAAGCTCCGCTCGACGAAGTCGACAGCGGAGCTAAAAAGCTAACATTGCAGAAAGTTGTTATCACTACTATGTCTTTTCCTTCACTTCATTGCGAGCAAGCCAATAAAACAGAAAAATAAATGCCATGTGTTCTTACTAAGACTTGCTGTTGAAGAATATGCAGCTTGATCAGCCAGCCAGGCTCAATGAGGTCTTCGCCCGAAAAATCCTGAGTATCGTGGTGCTTTAGCCTACTTCCCAGCTGTTAATTAAATACAAGATATATATCAGTGTTTGACATTGGCGATAACCGTGTTATATTTGAATAACAACTTGACGATGAGTAAGTACAATACATAATACGTAATGCTTAACAGAAGAAAATGGAAATAAAAATAAAGAGTGGGATTAAAAATGTGATCAATAATTTTTGTCTTATTGCGATGACAAGCATACCTCGTATAACTGGCTAATAAGTGTATTGTTATACAACTGTGGGGCTAAGCAGATGGCACTGGTAATAACTTCACAGTACTGCAATGCCTGTGGAGAAATAAAAATGGTTCACTGAATGTGTAATTATAAGCACACAATTTTGGTATTCGTACATTCCTACAATACACCCACGGTGACATCAGCAGCAAAGTCATTACGAAAAAGATCCTGATTTACATTGCAAATGGTTACTGGGTCAAACTAGTAGAAAATAAAATTTAAGAATAAAAAAAAAAAAAAAAAATGTTTACCTGCGATGAGAAACCATGCTCGGCCAACCTGGCAGCATAAATAAACTTGTATACTTGATAGTTGGGAAGCAGATAGTGCTTATTTGCAAGTAACTGGGCATATTCGTATACCTCGGTGTGTTGTATGGCTTCGTTGGTTGCAAACTTAAAGAATGGTAAACTAGTTAAAAAAAGAAAAAAATGAACAACAGTTCACAACTTGATCCCAATATATACACAATATACATCCAGGCACTTTTTATAGAAACAGTCATTCAATAAATTTAAATATTATACATTAATTTGTTCTAAGTTTCTGAACTTGATTGGCAGCTGCTCCTATTTGTTGGCAAAAATAATCAAGAAATTTGTACTGATAGTGAACTTGGACCCCCTTAAAGTATGAGGATGTTTCAGTGGTCAGGGACAAATACAACACATTAGGTTTGCTTAATTATGCAAAATTCAGACACTGATGTTTTATGAAAATAAATGGTCAGTTTGAAGAAAACAAAAGATTACATTTTCAAGCCGACAGAGGGGCGTGGTATTATCAAAAAACAAAAGATTACACTTTTTCAAGCTATAGAGGGCGATATAATAGACCATTTTCCGTTCACTGCGAGAATCACGTATTATGCGTGAAAAACAGGACAAACAAAGGTTATAGCGTCGTAGTGGCATCAAACATCACGTGGGATTCAACAAACGCGAAAGTATTTTGGGGGACATTTCCATGCTTAATAATGTGCTGTCCACATTTGATGATAGACAATTTCGATTAAGTAAGGGTACTCAGAAGCAATATTCCTCTGTCGAAGATCGGCCGGTCGATGTGAGCTACGAAATAAAGAAATTCAAGTTCAAAATCAAATTGTTTGATTTTTGCAGCAGACGTCTTTCATGCATCTCGCGAGATCTCGCAATTGTACGGAAAATCACCTATTGCTATAACTTCCAGAAGGCAATACAGCTGTTGCAGTTTGTACAAATATATACTACCAATTTAGATAATGCATTGAAGGAATTTGGCACAAATAATGAAAAGAACAATTTTGTCATTCAGAAACAGACAAAACAGGGTAGAGTAGGTTGGATTTGATTTGTTTAAAACAAAAAGTTTTTCCTTCATTGAATTGTGTTTGCTTGCTGACTAGGTGACAAAACTTGCGTGTTACGATGTTTATAGTAAATTCTTCCCAATTTGGCCATCATTCTGATAATAAATGTATTTTTATTCAAGTCGCATTGAAATCTGGAGCAATTTGTCACTATTTCGCCAAAAACTGTTTAGGGTAGGCAATAAATTTTAAGGCAGAGTTGGGGTATCAGAGCCACACATATTTTTTATTTGTTCTAATGAGAAGTCTTACCTATGACTGGAACCCAGCAACACCATCTTGGTACTTTTCTTAGTGTACACACCTAAACCAACTTGTGCCATTATGTAACAGAACTGGGAAGCATGCAGTAAACTTTTAGCACCTGTGGAAAAAAAAAAATATTTCAAATGCCCATTTGCTATGTACTATACTACTGTAAAACCTGTATTAAAAGCCGCGGCTTCTATTAAAATGGTACAATGCAACAGAGGGGATGCGGCTTCTATTAGCGCATCTACACATATGACATTTGGTTCTCAATTGTTCAAAAACAATGGGTGCTGCTTCTATTACAGATGTAGCTTCTAATATAGATTTTACGGTACAACTTGTTGATTCAATTATCGTGCTTGTCTTAGCCTTTGAACACCAAGGCTAACATTTGCCACCTTTCACAAAATTAACCTTTTAAACCTTTTCACCACCAGACTTTCTAACCCAAATTTTTCTGCACTTTTTTTTATATTCTTCAAAATTTTTGGAAATGATCTCTAACTTTGGAGCCAACAGACAAGTTTTGAATAAATGTTCAGTTTTTACTCAAAATTTTTTGCTATTTTTGTCTCAATCTTCTGAAGGAAAGTGCAGACTATAAACGGGACTATTTCGTGAATTTTTTATGAAATGAAGGAATTGGTGGTGAAAAGGGTGAAAATAAACTTAATTGACTTAATTAAAAACAATTGACGAAGAGCGGTAACTATTGAGAAATGATGACCATTTGCCAAAAAATAATAAATAAGCAAATTTTACGGAGAAAAAAAAAAAGTATTTGAAGAGTCAATATTCTTCTGTTTGTGAAATAGGAAAAAAAGTCTTGTAAAATGCACCATTACTAAAATTGCTATTGTTTCGTATTTGCTATATTATAGTAGTTAGGAATACTTACCAAGAGTATCCCCCATGGTAGTTATACTTTTTCTATCAAGATCTGCTTTATTCGTCATATTGGATAAAAGCATTGACAAATGAGGGCGCCAGTCTCCCCACTTTTCATCAGCACAACACTGGAATTTGAATAAAGAGAAGACACTGGTAGGTTGGCATGACTAAAAGACTCTTTTATAGTTTTCACATTTCAATGACATAACTACAGTAGTTGCTCTATTAAAAGTACATCTCTAAAAGTACCAACAGTTGTATGTATTGTATAGTGGACCATTTAAAAACACAACTTATTTTGACCACAGACACACACTAGGCTTTTACATGAGTGCATGGGAGACTAAAAGAACAAATAAGCATAATAATGTGTATTCTAATAACATTTTAGATTTGTTTCAGGAAAAGCATTGATGTCCCAAATAATGCGATTCTTGTTATTTTCATATCATGTGTGTTGTGTAACACTTTGAAAAAAAAAAATTTTTTTGGCATATTGACCAGAGTGACACACCTAAACACTTTCGTTAATAGCACACAGAATGCTATAAATAAATAAATTTATTCTACAAATTACAAAAAAAAAGCAGCTCATGATTTTACAATAACACTAAGAAAGACAAACCGTTGATGCAGCAGGCTGTCTTCCAGACATTAATTGATATAATGTTTGTAATGGATCGTTCATTGGCAAACTGTTGGCAAACCTGGAATAAAACAAAATTATGAGTTATTATATATGACAAACTATGGATTGGGGTTCATGTCAGCAGACAGGAAAGAACAATATACCACCAATATACTCCCAACATCACCGATATACACCCCCCACATTATCATGAAAATTGTGACTTCTGAAGCCTCAAACAGAAATGTTGTCGCCCCATATTTCTTTCGTTTTCACACTTAATTGGTTTTTTATAGTGATTTACTTCCACCAAAGGTAAAGTTTTTCAAAATATGATTTTTAATTGAGTCAGGGAATAAAAAACATCTGTTTGACGTATCATATAGAAAATACACTGACCACAAAATACCACTAATATTGCTATTCTAAAACATGTACCATCTTTGTAGGAAAATGAATACATGTAATACACCACATCATTGCACTGACTTCTGCTGAAATAACTGGATCTTTTTCTTTCTATATCTGCATAAAATGACATCTTGGACTATCTCAGAATTCTAATCACAGATAGATGACGTTGTGAAACGTATTCGATTCTCACCTCATCATGACATTTGCGTACGTCCTCGTATCCATTTTACTGGCTAGAAGTAATGCATGACCCCAGAGACCTCCCTTCATTGCTGCTTCCAATGCATCCTGCAAAATTAGATGAACAAATTTGTTATCACTTTGGTGAAAATCAATTAAAAACTCATGATCTAGGTTAATCAGAGGTTGTTTTCAAGTGAACAATTAATATCAAATCATACTATAGACTACGTGTACAAAAAATTCAGAATGAAGAAAAGTGCGACAGTTATTTCAGTCCAAAGAAAAAAAAAATTTTTTTTATTCAATAGCCACCAGAGTAGGGATGCAACACTATGGATAAATTACAAAGCAGGCCTTCAGATTACAACCACTTTGATCACCATGGGAATTGAATTTAATCAATGACGATTAAAAAAAAATATCTAGGTCCCGAATAAAAAAATTACACAGCTTATCAACTTCTGGTGAACAAACTTCTAGTTCTACCCACAATTCAACACTTTGCACATGTTCATTTCACTATTTGCCACATCTAATTATTGTTATGAAATAACATGTGATAAACTACACCGTTTGCAGCAGAATGATGCGACTGAAAGTGGATCTCATCCTGACAGTGAATAAGTATCGGCCAATAACGTGGAACATTGTCTCTAAATTTCAACATAATCACACAGTGTTTGAATTTATTGAGAACTAACACTGTCACTGCTAGAAATGTTCACAATTTTACCCGTTACAGGAGCTAATGTCATCCCCTATCTTAGACCAAAACAGAAATCAAAGAAAGCTTAGAAAGAACTCCCGTGTGCTGAGAGTATTGAAGACACATTAAAAATTAATTAAAAATTACTAGTACATGAGATATTGATGGAAAAGCTGAAAACTAATTATGTAAATCAGGTCACTAATATGAACAGAACAGAACAAAAAAATTATGAATTATTATGCTAATTAGAGAATTAATATGAACAAAATTTTAACCCAAAATTAATCAGGCCTGTCTATTGTCCTAGAGCATTTATGTACCAAATTTTATTCAAATGTGATGATCAGTAATTGAGATATCAGTGTTAATTAATTATGTTAATTAGGTGATTAATAAGCATAAATATTTACCAAAAACTAATTGGGTTTCTGCATAGTTCTCTTTAAAAGTTTCATTAAAATCCAATTTGTGGTTCTTTATATATCAGTGGAACATTATGCAAATTAGGTAATTAATATCCAATTAAAACTAATCAGGTGTCTGCATAATCCTAGAAGATCTATGTACCAAGTGTCATTGAAATGTGATGATTACTACTTGAAATATCAAAAGCTGAAAATTAATTAATTATGCAAATTAGCTAATTAATATATACTGATATTACCCTAAAAACTATCAGGTCTGTGGAGTGTCCTATGACATCTATGTACCAAGTGTCATTGAAATGTGATGGTTACTACTTGAAATATCAAAAGCTGAAAATTAATTAATTATGCAAATTAGGTAATTAATATGTACTCATATTACCCTAAAAACTATCAGGTCTGTGCAGTGTCCTATGACATTTATGTACCAAGTGTCATTGAAATGTGATGATTACTACTTGAAATATCAAAAGCTGAAAATTAATTAATTATGCAAATTAGCTAATTAATATATACTGATATTACCCTAAAAACTATCAGGTCTGTGCAGTGTCCTATGACATCTATGTACCAAATTTCATTGAAATGTGATGATTACTACTTGAAATATCAAAAGCTGAAAATTAATTAATTATGCAAATTAGATAATTAATATGTACTCATATTACACTAAAAACTATCAGGTCTGTGCAGTATCCTATGACATCATTGTACCAAGTTTTATTGAAATGTGATGATTAGTACTTGAGATATCAGTGGAAAAGCCGAAAATTGATTAATCATTATGCAAATTAGGTAATTTTAGGCAAATTAGATTTTTACCCAAAACTAATCAAATCTGTGCATTAGTTTGGAGCATCTGTGTGCCAAGTTTCATCAAAATCCAATGAGTGGTTCTTTAGATATCAGTGGAACAGCTAATTATCATGCAAATTAGGTAATTAATATGCATGGATTTTTACCAAAACCTAATCAAATCTGCGCATTGGCCCAGAGCATCTATGCACCAAGTTTCATCAAAAACACACACACACACACACACACATACAGACACACTAACTGCAAAGACTCCCTTTTTGTGCTTCGCACACGGAAGTCAAAAAGTTAAAGCGAGAGGGTCATCACCTGCGCACGTGTGGGAATTGAGTCGGAAAAATTTATGCAGAAAAAAATCAGGGGTTAGTCTATTATAAGACATTGACCCCCAATACCAGATGTCCCCTGGTAGTAGATGTTGAACCCTTGTAACAAGTGTTGATCCCTTGTAACAAATGCAACCCCTGGTAACAGCTAGATGGTGATCCCCGGTAACAGATGGTGATCCCCGAAACCCAATCTTGACCCTAGTAACACAAAAACTAATCCTGTTAACAAGGAAATATATGTTGCTCTAAAACCTCTAATTAGAATAAAACCAAGGTACATTTCATGAATGATACAGAGAGGCAAACAATTAAATGATGACAATCACACAGTGTTTGAATTTATTGAGAACTAACACTGTCACTGCTAGAAATGTTCACAATTTTACCCGTTACAGGAGCTAATGTCATTCCCTATCTTAGACCAAAACAGAAACAATTTGTATCCGGTTATTTCCTAGTCAAAGGGGCTCACTGGACCATTGTTGTTTTAACATCTAAGAATCAAAAACAAATCAAGTCAAACTACCCCCATCTAAAATTGTGTAGCTTTTTCCCCCTATTCGGTGGTTGTGAAACCTGAAATCAAAGCAGTGTACATAAACACCATTATTATATAAAATATCCCCTTATTGGCTCAGTGACGTTGACTACAATTCAGTATTCTAACCTTTTCACCACCAAACTTTGTCTGCAAATTGTTCTGCATTTTTGTTCTTATATTCTTCAATATTTCTAAAAATGAACACTAATTTAAGAGCCAGCAGACAAAATTTGAGTCAATTTTCAGTTTTTAATCGAAAAGTATGGCTATTTTTGTCCCAATCTTCTGAAGGAAAGTGCAGACTGTAAATGGAACTATTTTGTGAATTTGGGATGAAAAGAATGAACTAGTGGTGAAAAGGTTAAAGAAATGTAAATTACTTGCCTTCTTTCTACCAAACAACAATAATTCACGGAATCTCTTTATTTCTTTTTCCATATTTCTACCGGCTATGTCTAGTCTGGAAGGTGCCTTCACTACAGCAGCAGTTGGTGGAGAATCCGCGTCTGCTGTCGTCGCTGGCGCTTCCCGGTGCCCATGAGACTCATCATCAGGTGTCTGGTTCTCGGCACTATTGTAGCCAGATTCCAGAAGTGGATTGTCTTTGAGTAGCAACTCACCAATATCAGTACCAACAACAGTCTGCAACAAGAAAGTCATATTTATACAGACATATCTTAGCATTTGTACATTAAACATTAGTGAAAAATAACCTACCCCGTTCTGTGTACACAGTAGTGTAAAATAACTTACCCCATTCTGCCTGCACAGTAGCACCATCAAATCCCAGAGCAGAGCTGCAGATTGCCTATCAGCCAATCCAGTGTTCTTTAGACATGTGACTGCTTTGTCAGATGCGAACCGTATCACATCACTTTTGTGCGTTTCATTTCTGACGTACAAAAAAGAAACATATTAAAGCTAGTTATATACATAAATTTTTAATTTTTCAATTTCACTTGGATTTTATTTTTGCACTTTTTGCTGGAAGGGTAAATCAGAAAATCTTCTATTCAGTTTACACAGTAGACTGGAGAAGTAAAATCAGTGAAAATACCATTTTTCCTATATTTTACATTTAAAATGGTGATTTTTTTTAATTCTGCATACGATTTCACACCTCAATCAAATACAATTCCATTTCAATATGCAAAGTTTCAACCATTGCAGGCAATTCTATGAAAAACATTGCTAATAATTCTCCAAAGAATATTGCAATATTCCAAGAAAAATTGATAGGGAGATTAATTTTGTGTCAGCGATAATATATCTACTACTGTAAACCATAGTTTCATATGAGAGAACAATGCCAGTGAAAAATTGTGTACATTTATGAATATATTTTTTCATTGACAGCATTGATCAAATATATGATAAAGGTTATGCTAATATACCTAATGAGTGGTCCAGGGAATGATTTCAGTTCTTTAGCATCGTCTGTGTCTCCTAAGATTGCCTGTTGAGAAGAAAATATTCATATTCAACACATTGCATACTGAAACAGTTATACATCATTTTTTTTTTAGCTCTCCAAAGTAACTTTTAGCAATCGATGTGCCGAGATGTCTAGCTATAGCTTTCGTCAAAACCAGAGTAGTGATTGCTTTTTTAGAAGAGTTATTTTCTATGCTTTATTTCTTCTGCTACTATGAAATAAGAGAAAATTTATAATGTCTACTTGCACAAGTATGTATATTTTCTTGAAAACCTACTCAAGTTTGAGGGCATACAAAAACAAGTAAAAGTACTTTGTGAATAAACTCCTGTTAATCACAGTTATTTAACAGCTTTTTTATATTAAAATTTACATACTGTAAAAGGGTTAATTATTCACTGGGTTTTAATTTTGCTTATTTCGCTGACTGGAAAATACGCTAAATTAAAACCCAGTGAATATGTAAAATTTAGCATAGAACACATTATCTAAATGATAAAACTGTGAATTTAAAACCCACTGAATATGCCTGAAATGGTAAATCAGCGAAATTTAAACCCAGTGAAAATTAGTCATTTTAAAGTATACAAAATTTGTATGCATAAACAAACACACCTCCCAATTTCTGCCAGCAGCATTTTTCAAAGGCCTTTTTACCACCAGTTGCCTCTTTTTATCGCAAATTCACAAAACAGTCCTGTTTATAGTCTGCACTTTCGTTCAGAAAATTAAGACAAAAATAGCCACATTTTTTGGAGTAAAAACTGAAAATTGACTCAAATTTTGTCTGTTGGCTCCAAAATTAAGGGTTTATTTCCAGAAATATTTCAGAATATAAGGAAAAAGTGCAGAAAAAATTGTTTTTGTTGCATTGTACTTTATCTTACCTCTACATTATGAATTTCAACCACAGTTGCCATTCCGTCCTCAGGATTATTTGGTAATACTTTAATTAGCTGCCCGCCAGCACCGAACCTAGCCACAACGTGTGGAAGTACGTGTTTCACCGGCGTCATGCGACCAGGTGGCGATACTTCTTCTGTTGGATCAAAACATAAATAAGCAAGATGGTGACGATTGTATAAAAAGTAATCAAGAAATTAAAACAGTATTAAATTGCTAAAATCATATCTAAAATAACTCAAATTTATTCTCCATTTTTTTATCTTAGACATGGCAAACGTAGATATCACAGATAGAGGAGATTATTGTATTTGAAAGACAAAATAAGGAAGCACCACTGCTGATGTGTGCAAATTTTGTTTCTGTGAATCTGTTGTCTGTGAATGTTCAGCTCATTACCGATATTGCTACTATTGTATTGGGGCAATTAACATATTCATATGCTTGCTAATAACGTGGATGATGTTTGCCATACCACATCCTATACAAACCAAGATATTTTGAAAGACTGCAAAATGGAAAGAAGTTTAAGAAAAACAATTATGTGATTTCCATGAAAATGTCACATCATGGAGATACTTGTCTAATAATCGCAATGAATTGGCATTCAAAGGATTTCACAGCTAACGTACCTTCTGGCTGGGGTTCAGCTTGCCATGGTTCTTCCTCTTTAGCGTACTCATACCCGCTATTGGCATCATAACCGCCAGGCTGTTCTTGCTGTAGTTGTTCTTGTCCCTCATTGTCTTGGGCAGGATAATTGTCATAGGATGTCTGGTACGGAATGGTTTGGTCCACTCCGTATCCAGCAGGAGCCTCCCCTTCATAGCTAGTGGAAGCTTCTTCACCATAACCTGGGTACCTAGACAAGTCAAAACACAGAATGTATAGGTGAATCCCATTGCGTGTATGTAACCGTAGCAACACATAGAAATGTACTAAGATATAGATTATAATGTCGAAAGGAATGATCAGAATTTTTATCATTCGCCCTACATGTACATTGCGATCACCCTATTAATGGTAATGAAGCACTTTCTTATTGAATGATATTTACCTAACTCATTATTATTCATTAAAACTTGCGTTGAAGTCACAATTTCTGAAATTGTTGATTGGAATTTTAACAGCCACTTCGATTTACACAAATTTATATTGATAATTAAAAGTGTTATAATATGCCTAGGTTTCTGCTGTTCACTGATCAGAAGTGCTCAGTAAGTCACATTTCATGTCAGAGGTGAAAATTAGAAATTAAAGTTGTCTATCAATATTAGACCAGTTGAAGAATAAAAGTACTTGTACCAATTAATGATGTACCTGTCTCTAGCAAAATAAATTACGGCATATTTGAAATAAAATTCTTGGTTCATACTTTTGCAAGTCTTAAAAACTCTGAAAGCAATTTTCAGGACATTAGCAACTTCACTGCTTCACTTGGTCAGTCAGTAAAAATATATCTTTATTCACATATCCACATGGATAGGCAATTTGTGCATTAACTTGTCCCAGCTAAAATCTGCATGTCCAGGACAGGTCAACAGGACTGAATTTTGATCCCTGCATATAACCCGACTCACCTGCCGTCTGTGGCATCAGCACTTATCTCATTACTCCACTGTTCGGCACTGTAAGATTGCGAATGCGCACTCTGTCTGTCATAGTCCTCGTACGTATCCCTACCATAGTTATAACGTTCATAGTACAGTCGCCGATATTCCTCACTGTACCTCCAGTCATCATAGCCGTAACCCCTCTTATCTCTGTAATAATCATGCGTTCTGTACGGCCGGCCGTATTCATCATATTCTGATTTTGTTGGAAAATATTGAAACATGTAAAATAGTACAGTTAATTATTCAGTATTATATTGAATTTTGTATAATGCCTTATCACTTTGGAAGTTGAGGCAAGTTTAATACACTAATGTGTTCCAAATTGAACATCATTACGACTAATTAATTACATCACACAATGTTTAGGGAAGTCATTTGAAACAAATTCTACTCAGCCTTAACCCCCTCACCACCAGTTCCCTCTTTTCATCACAAATTCACAAAATAGTCTTGTTTATAGTCCGCACTTTTCTTCAGAAGCTTGGGACAAAAATAGCAAATTTTTTGAGTGAAAACTGAATATTGACTCAAATTTTGTCTGTTGGCTCCAAAATCAGGGTTCATTTACAGAAATATTGAAGAATATTAGGAAAAAAGTGCAGACAAATTTGAGCGAGATAGTCTGGTGGTGAAAAGGTTAACGTCATTTTCAGTTCACTGACATACATGTATACACCTCAATAAAATTTGTCATTATCAGGACATTTTTTTTTTACACTAACAAGCAAGTACAAAAAAACTAAAACGGAATCAAATGTAATTTCAACAGTTTTGAAATTGAAATAATTTTGTTCGGCAGTAAAACTCCCTTCAAATTTTTGAAAAGCTGCAACAAAGTAACGCGTCTTTATAGACTGTCCACAAGGCCTGCATGTAACATGTTTCATACACTGACTGGACAACGTTCTACGGTTACACAAAGTTCTATCTTTAGTAAAGCGAGTTTTCTTGAGGAAATGTTCTCGTGGCAAGTAATTTACAATGGAAAAAGATTTCCTTCATTGAGAAAAAAAAAAGGTTCAATACATACCATAATAATCATATCGATACCCTCTAGCTCGGTTATACGGATCATCGTAGTAGTCGTAACCCTCACGACTTCTAGGATAATGTTCGTATCCCTGAACAGAGTATGGCCTTTCAGACCTTGAAAGAGGTCGATCGTTTTCACGCCGGGCATACTGGTCATATCGCTCACGTGGACTGTACATTTCGTCATATGGATCTCGACTCTGTCGAGAAAGTGGTCTGTCATACCTTGAATTTGAAGCGTAAGGGTATTGCCGATCGTCGGAGTACTGCAGCGAGTTTGTTGGAGATCGGTCTCTCACAGGTTGCTGTTGGATGGGAGCTTGTTGCTCAGTAGCATCTGCGACATGATGAGGGTGATGTAAATGTTCATGGGATTGTCTGTTCTGTAGAAGTTGTTGCTGTTGCTGCTGTTGTTGGTGTTGGTGCTGCTGGTGTTGGTGTTGTTGTTGTTGTTGTTGCTGCTGCTGCTGTTGTTGTTGTTGCTGCTGCTGCTGTTGCATATTTGGTTGTCCACGTTGGATGTTTGGGTGTGTCCCTCTTAAGGGTTCGTGAGCAACAGGATTGGTGGTAGGTCCTTGAGCATTGCTGACAGTCCCAGAATTTAGGGACAAGTTTTCTAATTTTCTTGATGCCTGGTGAAGATCACTGTCCAATGATGATGGGTTTTCAGTGGAATGGGGCACTTGCGCAGAGTGGCTTGCAGGCATGAGAAGAAGAGGTCGTGCTTGTTCCCCGGATTGCATGGGTGGAAGATGTCGTTGTTGCTGATCTTTAGCTACAGTTGAATGCGCAGTAGGAGGAGCTAAAACAATAGTCTTTGGTAGTGAAGGAACATCATCTGTTGCCCAAAGAGTAGTTGGAGGTGATGGAGCTATACTAGATTTCAGACTTTCTTTTCGAATTTTCTCTGGTGCCGAGGAAAGCTTGTGAATGCTGCTGAGACTATCAGAAGATGATGCACATGTATCGGTTGTAGATGTATCTGTCATGCATGTGGTAACCTGTAGTGGGTGAAACTGCTGCATTTGTGGCTCTATACCTTTCAGATCCCGCAGTCTTTCAGGGGGGTGTGCTGGTGGCACAGCAGGAGGTAGATTGGCATGAGAAGGTTGTTTCAGCTGAACAGGAGCAGGGCCCAATTGCATGTGTTGATTAGTAGGAAACACAGGTTGAGTGGGAGGTCTTATCCCATGAACAGGAGCAGAGTTAGGAGGATTAGCAAGGGGTGGGAGATGGGAATGCTTGCTCACCAAAGCAGGAAGAGCTGCTGGTTGGTGAATCACAGGTGGAAGGCGAGAGATCTGTTGAGCTCCTGGAGGATTAGATGGTAGATTTTCTACAAGAGGTTGAGTATGTTCTTGAGCTACAGGAGGGGGGTGGGAAGATTGTTGCTGAGTAGTTGGTTCAACCTTAGCAGGTGCTTGACCTGGTTGCCCAGGGATGGTTGTATCAGTTGGAATGCTTGACTTCTTAACTGCAATTGACTGTGGCATCCCTGGGTGAAGACCATGTTCAGGAGCCGGTGATAATGGCATTCCAAAGCCAGTCGGATAACCAGGTCCACTTGTTGGAAGAAAGGGGCTACCAACTCTATCGTGATTAAAACTCAAAGGTACATCTCGGCCAAGCAATCTTGGACTCATTGGAGAAGACTCGTCTTGTGAACAAGCTGGGTTAGGTTCTCCAGGTACAGCAACTTCAGAAACAGACTTTTCTATTGGAATGCTCCCTGGTGGCATCGCATTCGGAGAGGATTGGGACTGCCAAACTGATGATTTTGTAGCTGTATTTTCTTTCACTGAATTGGATCTATGATCACTACTGGTGCTTTGATTACTTTTGTTAGATTCAAAAGAGGCAGTACGACCATGGTTTATAACAGGATTGCCAGTTGAAGGAACTACATCAGCAGGGCTATTGCGGCTATGGGGTCCAGACGACCAAGCACCTTCGTGAGCAGTGAACGTAATGCCAGCTGAACTGGCTATACTTGCTGTATCCGAGTGTCCATCATGGACTTGGTTTGTCGAGAGGGTATTTACATGCTCCATGGGATGTGTCTGGTTTGGAATGCCTTGTATTAGATCTGGGTTATAAAACTGCTGTGGAGCGGCAGCGGCGCCTGCTTGATTATCTGTTGAAAGAATTGGTTGATTAGCGGAGCAGTCAACGGGAACGCTATCAACAACAGGATTGTGGGTATCAAGAACAATACTAGGAGTATCTTTGACAGAACTGGAAGGAACATTCCCAGCACCCTCAACTACTATATCCCGTATTGATTTCCCATTTACTGAGCTATCAACTATTCCTTCCAAATTTGTATCAGATACATTGCTATTTATATTTGTATCACTACAGCCACTATCTCTGAATTCATTATTATTAGGATGAACCTCTTGCTCCTCAGAAACATGTGTTTTGTCACTACTAACAGTCAGTGGATCTGCAGACAATCCATCACATTCATTTAAATCTCCTTCCAGCGCATTTTCATTTTTCTCACTCTTTTCTGAATAATACTGATTAGGCTCACCTTCAGTGTGTGTTTGTGCGACAAGGTGGCCCGTGAGATCTTCATGCATTGGGAGTGACAAAGGATCAAGAGGATAGGGTGAAGGTTCAGGAGAACAAATCTCATGGCCAGCATGTTGATTACCAGGTACAGATTGCAGATTTTCCTGGTTAGACCCCGTAAGTTGGGCTGAAACATCATGCTGCTGCTGGTGATGGTGGTCAGGCCACATGTTTTGAGGTTCGTTCAACAATACAGGTTCTTGCAGAGCGGAAGAATGATCTGTGATCGGTAATGAATTCTGATCACCTTGAGTAGCCAGTTCTGTATGCTCCTGATTAAATGGGAAACCATCCGTGCATTCATCTCTCCTAGCATCCAAAACTTGTTCATAGTTATTTCCACCAGGGAAAGGTTTAGAAATGTTTTGTGGCAGTGAGTACAACTCTGAACCCCACTTTGGCTCCCAGGTGACTGCAAGGGATGTTCAGGGTAGGGTTCAGTTACAGGCTCACCAGGATTTTGCTGCCAAACCAGACCAGATGCCGATGGAGGCCTATGTTGGTTTTCTAGGCCTTGATTATGATTTTGGTCTTGAGATGTTTCACCACTATTGCTTACATGAAAAGAACCACTAATGTTACTGACCGGACTTTGACGGTCACTCAAGCTTTGCCCGCTCTGTCCACTGGCATTCAGAAAGCTATCCTCAGTTGTGTCATCACCGAAAAAAGCTGCAAACATACCCGAACTATTTCTTGACATGGAATCTTGATTTTCCGGCACCAAATGAACTTGATCGTTCATTTGTTGCTGTTGCCAGTCATTCTGACGTTCAACATTTTGCACATTAAGTCCTCCTTCCTGTTCAAAAGGTTTCTGTTCATAATTACGATCACTCCCTGGAGGAGAATTTGATGGAAAACTGGCCACCTCTGGCTGTCTGTAGGTACTATTTTGTTGGTAAGTTATATTCAGTTGAGACGAGTCAAAATTTGCTTGTAAATTTTGTTGATTTTGTGGAATATATTGTTCCTGTGTATTCCATGTACCCTGTGACATATGTTCCGGATCATGGTATTCCCATTGTCCGGCACCGGCATTTTGGTGCCATGGTTGTTCATGTGGTGGTGGCCTTATATTGTCCATCCCCTGAGATACATCATGGTTATACTGATTTACAGTATTGGGATGTGGCATTGGTTTTGTATCTTGATTATACGGATTCCTTACATTGGGTGGTGGATCAATAAAGTCTCTAGGATTGATAAATTGAGGCTGAGATGTTTGCAGTTGATTGTTCACTTCATTGACACCATATCCAAACCAATTTTGACCATTCACAGACGTGGGATCGTTAAAGTCATTTGGTTGTCTCTGTTCATCTGTAGATAAATGAGAAATGATTTAACAAAGTTAATACAAACATGATTAAAATATTCTGACTCATTTATAATCGTCCCAGACCTGATCATCTGATGACACATTGCCGTGAAAACCAGTTGAAAAGAAAAAATTGTTTTTCGTAATTTTTTCTAATTTTGACTTTATGTCAAGCATCTGATTTCATCCAATGTTCTTGAAAGGACTGGTCTTTGAAAAAAAAGCATAAAATTTTGCTGTTGCAGGTTCTTTTGACAAATTGTGCACAAAAATGTGGATTGGTCCGAAGAAGGGAATTTCTCAATATAAGAGATGAAGTTGGCTGTGGTCTGAATGTTCCTTTTGCCATGAGATATCCAAATATCGAAACTGACACTAATATATGAAATTAGCTGCCATGCTTGGTTTTTACTAGCTACATGCATGTAGAACACTGTCAAGTGAAAGTTGCACAAACTAAGAATAATTAAATCAGCATATCACAGTCAAATCATAAACTGTCAAATTTTAGCATTTTCCCCAGGATTTTGTTAGCAATAAGAAGAAATTATGTTTGTGGTAAAGTATGTGTACTGGGGTGGGGTATGTGCAGCATTGTAGTTACAGGTTTTCATTGGAAATTGCGATGCTTTCCGAGCACTCCAAAATTGCAAGAGGGTAATGTACCCCTCTGTTCAAGAGAGAACACACAGTCCCATATACATGTACCACGAATGTTATGCCTGTACCTGTACATACATGAAAATACATGTACCTCAGCTTCACTAGAAAATTGTTTTCCCCAGGATTTCGTTAGCAATAAGAAGAAATTATGTTTGTGGTTAATTTAAAGTACATGTGACGGGGCTATGTGCAGCATTGCAATTACAGGTTTTCATTGGAAATTGCAATGCTTTCCGAGCACTCCAAAATTATAATGTACAGGGGTAATGTACCCCTGTTCAAGAGAGAACACACAGTCCCATATACATGTACCACAATGTTATACATGTACCTGTACATACATGAAAATACATGTACCTCAGCTTCACTAAAAAATTTTGAACAATTTTAATACAAATCATACTTACCGCTGTCTAAGAATAGTGCCCCATTACTGTTTTCTCTGGACATACTGTTTATTTTGAATTACTTTTTAAATCTGTGAAAATAAATAAATGCGGAGGTCACTATAACAAAATTACAACAAGGTACTTTGAAAATTGATAGCCAGCTTGAAAGAACTTCACATCTGGACTGTATAGTAACTCCAAAGTTTGCTTTGCTCTTCCATAAACTTTAAAAGATTTCATTGTCATAAATAATTTCAACAATTCTTTGTAGTATTTATCTACATGCACATGAGACATATTTAGGAAGAATAATCATGAAAATTTAGATACATGATTATGCAGAAAGCAAGCCAAACGTTGATATTGCTATAACAAACATACATGTATACAGGGCTCGAAATTAACTTATATTTTTGGTAGCCCAAGTGGACTACCAATTTGTGAAGCTGGTAGTCCCAAAATAAATTCTGGTAGTCCAGTTTTTGATTTTGTAATTTAAGATTATAAAAATATTTTTTAAAAGATCTTGACTACCTATCTGACCTGTACATGCCATGTTGTATAATTTTGTTTTTGGACACAAAATTTTTAAATTTACCATTGTTTCTGAACTACACAGAAATAAAACAGATGATAGACATCAACAAATCTACATGTAGGTAGCAGATTGTTGCAATTTCTAGTAGCCTTTGTGGGCTGCCAACTTTGAAATGTAGTAGCCCCATCATGAAAACTGGTAGTCTGTGGACACAGGACTACTGCTAATTTTGAGCCCTGATGTATATATAATATACAACTAAGTGCAAGTCATCTAATCACTCCATATGTATAGAAGAAAGTAAATGAAATCAGAAAATGAAACATGACCGGAGTTCTCCTCAGGCTATTATAAGTAGGTATAAGCACAGGGTCATAACTCCAATTTAGCATGACAATAAATACAATTACAGTGATTAGCATATTATAGTGTTATGCAAATTAACCAATGCTATTTTTCCCCTGACAACAATGACTTAATACTTAATTTGCATAGAAATAAACAATTTTGGGATCATTTGCATAATATTAACATTTCAATTTCTCCAGCAAAAATAGAGGTAGATAGAATTACTGGAAAACAGTATTTTATTTGGTCTTAACGAAATAAATCAATAATGCATTAGTTAAAGATAGTTTCATTATCAGGCACATGTGTGCAACACATTGGCACTATTGCCCATTTATTCCACATGTAGCAAACAAGGCAATTTAACAGTTACATGCAACTCAAAAGTGGAATGTTTACATAGCCTGGTGTACACGTGGCGTACACATAATGTACAGATGAACTAAAACTTACTGATAGTTATAAATTAACATTCACAATGTAATAGAAAGGTCAAGAAGGCCTAAAATAAACTTTGAACCTTATGTTAAAGCAGAGCTTGAACTTCATGGAGGTAATGAAGGCAACTGTCTCTCTACATGTATGCCTTCTTAAAAAAAAAACATTTTCACAGTTTATAAATAGACAGGACATTTTTTGCCTTAAAGGAACACTAAAACGTCACCACTACCAGTGAAAATATTTAAAATCCATTCTATTCTATTCTGGTGGTTTTGCTGAGATTAAAAATTTTGAGCGGCGGACTAGAATAGAGAGCAGCATGATAAGAAGTAATTTTTTTCCATTCATGTACAAGTAGCGGATGTGACAAGTATACAACTGCACGGATGATGTATGTCACCTCCTTAAGACACATGGCAGTATAATAAGGTTGATTTTTCTAACATAATGCCAAAAAAAAAAAAAAATAGTGTTGTCTGGCAACATTGAAGAAAAATAAGATACAATGTAGCTATTCGTTTTTTTTTTATTTATTTAAAGATACAGTTGGGCATGTTGGGTGGTCTATGAGCATTTTGAAAAATAAAATAAAAAATAGACATTTTTGTGTGAAAAATTTGTCTAGCATGCAGCTAGAAACAAGGAAGTACGTACCCTACAGTGACGATAAAAAACAAAACAAAAATACAGGGTTGGCATGCAAAATTAAGGTATGATTGAACTGAACGACAAAACACAACTTATTTTTTTTTAGCCTTAGCATAATCATGGACTGTAATATGATGTTATGTTATATAAAGAAATGCAAGTCATACCAATGTATTCCAAATATTATTAATCTAATTATAATTTCAGACATAGTCCATATACAAGGAAAGAATAGATATTTAAAACTATATGTAAGATATAAAAACTATCATTATCGTAGACAATCTTTGCTGCACTAAAGCAGACTTCCATCTCACATCACTATTGAACATGGCACAAATAAGCATATTGCTTGATGTTCGCAGACATTCCATAAAAGCATAAATTAGCTTCCTATATGTATCGGCAAATGTATTTATACGATTGTCGACGAACATAGTACTAGGGTACTTGCACTACAATTACATGCATACTGTAAATGATTAATTTTCACTGGGTTTAAATTTCACTGATTCATCATTTCAGGTTTTAAATTCACGGTTTTAACATCTAGATAATGTGCTCTATGCTCAATTTTACATATTCACTGGGTGCCTTTCCAGTCAGCGAAATAAGCAAAATTAAAACCCAGTGAATAATTAACCCTTTTACAGTACCCTAAAAGTTCACGAAACACGTTATTACATCTGACCCAAAAGGCGTTAACAGTTGATTAACAGTTGGCAGCTATACAAGCTAGAACCGAATGTTTTAAATTTAAATAACAGAGTTTGACTTCACTGCTGCAGTTAATTTACATGCTAGCACAGTGTTTACCTGCACACAGGACTGCGGTTAATTTACATGATAGCACAGTGTTTACCTGCACACAGGACTGCAGTTAATTTACATGACAGCACAAAGTTTACCTGCACACAGGACAAACGTTTTTGACAAACAATGTCCCCATTGTTTTTCATGTCACAAGTTATTTTACATGTAGGTATGTATGATATGATACAAGTGGAAATGATAAAATTTCAATGACGCAAAACATAGATGTACACGATTCATCTAAACACAGTGTCAGTAGTTTCCTGTGCTGTTACAATTATAAATGTATGTCACAATTGAGATTGGGTGATGTGTAAACTTTAATTAGGTCAAAAATTGCTGTCCACAAATAAATATGTATATTTATTTTCAACTACCTACTTTATTTTTGAAAAAAAACACAATTTTGTTAGCCTGCAGAGATTGCGTTAACCCCATATTTTGCTTCCCGGACTCAAATTATCGAAGAGGGACCCAGTTTTTTAGGCAAGTTGAGGTCCAATCTCTAATAAAGTTATCCAGGGTCAAAATTAAATTTCTCAAAATTTTGTAAGTGGGACGAGTCTTGCTGAAACACTAGCGCAAACCCTGTTAGGTTTCACAGTTACAATGATGACTGAGTTACCTTGGCAGAAAAAATAAATCACTCACTTGCGACTCCTAGAAAACACTGCATGAGCTTATTTTTCTAGATCAAAATTAGTCCATCACAAGATATTCCTGTCAATTAAATGTTGTTCCAGCTATAAAATGCTGTTAATTAGGATAATAGTCACTAATTTTTGTTTATTTTGTAATTTAATTTTCGTAATAAGTATAGAAATTTCATTTATTTCTGACACTGTCTTTATTCCGTATGTAGATATTTAGTGACATCATATATTATATACAGAAAATAAAGGCTCAACAAGTGCAAATTAAAAACATTTCCCACCAGTGCCGCAAGAACTTGATGTCTGTTTGCGATAAGTAAAACAGCGACGGTTCAGTGTTTACTCTATACACCGGTAAATACGATACAATCATCGCAATATGCTACGATACTTGTTAAAACATATGGTAATGTTCAAGACAATTAAACGCATCAACAAAACCATGAACGCCACGCAACACTGGGTATACAACAATGTAACGTGATGTCAATTGTGACAGGAAGTAGTTTTATGGTAAATCCCAGGAATAGGAAAAGAGATCAATTTCTTACCGAAGACGTAATAGCCTTTAGGACACCACAACAATCTCAATCTGGATGACACACGTTGTAAGAAATGTAGTCGTTTTTCGAGTGATTAGAACGGTAAGGGTCAATACTTCAAAAATACAAGTAAGAGCGTTATACTCGACGCTCTCGGTATAAGAATCGTCTCGATATTGGTTTAAATAAAGCGAAATTCGGGAGAGAATCTTGGTTATTCTTTCACGTAAGTATCAAAGCAGCCATCTTGTTTAGCGACGTGTCCTGCGCCTGCGTAGGAGATGGTGACCTTTGGTAGCAAAGAGAACAATTATCACCTTTCTATAAAATTTAGATATTCTCTGAACGTTGCCCACACGATTACCTCGACAGGTTTATATATTCAATACAATTTTTTGTAAGCAATATACGCCGACACGGGATATATATTTCAACTTTTATAGGGGATATTTAGTTCGGCATTACTCGGTATTCTTCGGCCGCTCGAGTTCCGTACATGCGCAGGACTGCCACGTTGGTTTCCTGTTTTTGGTCTAAATTTGGAACTGACTGGTCTTAGTTGCTGTGAGCTAGTTTTATTTATTATATTCGACGTGGCTCATTCGAGTGATCAAAGAAGAGCATAGAGTTTGTGGCGAACGTAAACGCGCAATCTCAAAATGGTTCTGTTAACGATGATCGCCCGCGTTCAGGACGGGCTTCCCCTCGCAGCATCGATGCAGGAAGACGAACAGGTACAGTTGGTTGGATCGGGGAGAGACTTGCTAGCTCCATCACTTTCCTCTCGCATAACCATATGGTGATAGTAACATTGCGTTAACACCTGCACTGTGCCACGTCATCACAATGTTAATGTATATAAACACAAGGAAATCGCATATAAAACAAAGATTCATTTTAGTAATGTCAGTCTGTTCCATTGGGTTACCCCATAATAATTATTATTAATACCGGTAGATCCACATCTGCTTTCTACCAGCATTCATTTCATAATGAGCTATTAATGGGATAGCCGGGGTCTTATTCAGACATGGTAAACCGTACATTTTTGATGATTTTTTTTTTAAGTTGATTAATTATTTAATACTAAAATTGATTAATATTAAATAAATTGGTTTGTTCTGTAACTAATCTGTTTTTCAGCTTTCATTTTCAATTAAAGGCCAGTGATTGTCTTGCTGCATCCGTTTCACTATGGAATCCATAGCAACATACACACATGTAAAAAACATACAAAATTTTAATGTGTGATGACTACTGCCTTTTAAGAAACTGCTTTTTAATCTCAAGCTTATTTCTTCAATCGATTCCTAAAATTCATACATGCTCATCTGCATGAACTTAAAGGGCGGCAGTCGTCGTGCTGCGCATGTGTGTGTTGATAAACATTGATTTTCCCACAATCCAATGCTCTCTTCTACTGGCAATCACAAGTATGAGGTTTGACGTAGGCGTGACATGCACTAATTACTGCTGGTGACTCCTTCGATACCTTCCAATAACCTAAAAAATACCTAATTAATTAAAGCTTGGTAACGTCTCAGTTTTGTACTCGTTGATCAGCGCAACAGTTAAAGTTGCCATCTTTGTTTATATCTGATCCATATATCTCGCTCATGCGTGGCGCGGCGACTACCACCCTTTAACTCTCCAAAAACAATTGATTTTATTTTATTCTGCCAAATCACTGTCTAATTTTCCAAGATTACTAGTAAGAAACATCATGTAATACATACCATGTACTTCTTTGCTTTTTTTCCCGTAGAGTGGACGAAGCCTGACAGATTACCAAAATCAAGCCAAGATGTTATTCCGTAAATTAGATGAGAATTCTCCGCTTAGATGTAGTATAGAGACAGGCCAAATGATGATATTTCAGTATGTACACAGTTATAGTACTCTTTGAATGCAACAAGTTTCAGGTTTCAACAAAAAACAATTATTTGTTTTGCACTTCGTGAATTTTTTCTGCAAATTTATTTTATTGTAATTGTTCGTCAAAATAAATTTTCTTGACTCCTTAACCATACTTTTCCTCGCCAAAATTTTAGTGCAAAATATTTTTGTGTATTTTTTATTTTTTTATTTTTTTTTCTCCTAATGAACACAATTTCTTATTGGCTACAGGTTTTGATCCACTTTTTGGAAAATAATATAAAAAAATAATGAGGGTTTTATTTTGTAGAAGGTGACAAAAGTTGATATTAGTGTTCAGAAGGTTAATTCTCGAAGGATACTTTAAACTGAAATCAAATTCAGAGAGAAAATTTTTCTGAATTCCAGGAAATAATGTGTATTGTTGTCTCTTCTAGCTTCTAGTGATCAAATTTAAAATGAAAAAGGTTTTCCCTAATATTGTAACCTTTTCATCACTAGACTTTCTCGCCCAAATTATTCTACACTTTTTTTTTTGTATTCATAAATATTTCTGGAAATGACCCTAATTTTGAAGCCAACAGACAAACTTTGAGTAAATTTTCAGTTTTTATTCAAAAAATGTGGCTATTTTTGTCCCAATCGTCTGAAGGAAAGTGAACTATAAGCGGGACTATTTTGTGATAAAAAGAGGGAGTGAGTTGGTGGCGAAAAGGATAAAGATAACTTAGTGGAGTCGTATTATCGGTCATTATGAGAGTCTGTCTAGGCTAGTTGGCATGTACCTGCATACTGATTATACAATTTGATTTTTGTAAGTGATAACAATTTTATTTCTATGTAAAAATCTTAATAAGAACTATTGTGTTGAATATACTGTACTGTTAAAATTGATACTAAAACGATTTAACATTACTCGTATTGAGTTTAAATTGGAAACAGTTTCGGCAAAAATCATGATTTTTAAAAGTTTGCATTAAAGAAAATTAATTTTGTCTTGTTTCCTTGGGGGGGGGGTAGTTGTAAACACCAATTATGAGTGACATGCATTTCCTGTTTCTTGCTGACAAAAATAAATATTTAACTCTAAGTACATTTTTTTCTCCAGCTATCTCATAGACAGAAGTGTGTGCTATTTGGTCTTGTGTGAAAAAACTTTCTCAAAAAAGTTGGCATTTGCATATTTAGATGACCTTCAAAATGAGTTTTACGGCCAGTACGGACGAAGAGTCGGCATGGTTTCCAGACCTTATAGTTTTATCGAATTTGGTGAGTTCATAATTGATTAATTTAAACCTCAGACCACAAAAATGTGCTCTTAGTGATCTTATTTTCAACATAGCATCTCAAGGTTTACATGAGTGGATGATCCAGTGTTCCAAAATGTCGTCTGAAATCAGCGTCATTGAGTGAATTAGCGGTAGCATTCACAAGTAACAAGTGGTCAGTTTTAGTATCATAATGTATCTTCTGCTCTAACTCTGTATCCACACTAATTCCTCTGGCAATTGGAAAAATAAAGGAACTTGACCTTATCATTTGACGACTAGTAGCCCTCTGGTGGCTGAATAAGAGATTCTTTTGTTTTCTCCAGAAGTAGTCAAAAAGTGCACATAATGTGTATGCATGTATGTATTTTGTTCGCAATAAACTGCAAAGTAATCCACGTTATTGGGTCAGGTTGAACATTGTATATGATATTGCTGTATTGGTATTTATTGCGACAAATTTGCGTAAAAATGAATTTTCAGTTTTGCAGTCCAGATGTCATAGGAAGATGCATACAAATAATCAAAATGTTTCACCCAAATTTTGAAAAAAGAAAAACAAAATGTGGCATTCAACTTCAGCATAATATTTCAAAAAACATTTATTTTAATATTTCAGACACATACATGCAGAAGACGAAGAAACAATACATGGACTCCAGGACGCGGAGGAATATCAATGTTTTAAATAATGAATTGCAAGATGTCCAGAGGATTATGGTTCAAAATATAGACGATGTGTTGCAACGAGGTGTCGCTTTATCAGGTGAGAACTTGTGTTACAACAATGTGTTGCTTTATTGAGTAAAAAAAGGTGTGTTGCCATGTTGTGTGATTTAATCAGCGAACTTGCTATGATGACGTACTGCTTCATTAGATTGTACATTGTTGATTTGTTGTGTCGCGAAGGAAAATTTATTTACGTTTAGTGTTTTGTTGATCACAAGAACGTGTGTCGTAACAGTGTGTTGTTTTATTGGACAAGAATGTGTGTCGTAACAGTGTGTTGTTTTGATTTGTCAGTGAGTATGACTAAATTTCAAGTGACAGTTTTGATATAAAATCGTTTTTTTTTTCTGCTCTTCTTTTTCCAGTTCTTGATGACAAAGCCAGTAATCTCTCAAGTTTATCGAAGAAGTACAAACAGGACGCCAAATATTTAAACATCCGGTCGACGCACGCAAAGATTGCAGCAATTGTTGTGATTGTGATAATGATTTTCGTCTACATTAGATACTGGTGGTTTTAACTGGATACGCTAAAATCCTATACATTCAACTGTTATGGTCCCATCAATCAGTCTTGCGATCTTACAGTTGACACCTCCTGCAGAAAAAAACGCTATGGTTTCTAAGCACTTGATTCAATCACTTATTAGTTGCCGTGGTTACCTTGCGAGTATCAACACTGTAAGACTGACTTTAATAATTTGCTTGTATGTAATGTGAAATGAAATAAGAGATGAAAACATAGGAGATTCGTTAATTTCATATCCTGTTTCCGATCGCTATGGAATCCACAAATGTTTTGTGAGAATATTTAGGGTCTCATCCAGGGTCTAGAAGATGGGTTGTCTATTTCATCACACAAATTTCAACTGTTTTTTTATTAATGTTTAAATAATTCGCTGCCTTTTGACTGGTTTGTGATTACAATTTTATTAAGCAATAGATGCTAAAAAAACCAAATTGAATTGAATGACTGAGTCATTTATCTTCATGGAAACTAATATGGATAACGAGTTGTTTTATGTATGTATCATTGTGTGTAACGTAACATCCTTGTTCAGGTGTAGTGGCCATTGTGGAGGTACGGTAAATCGTAATGTTGAGTGTTTTAAAGTAGCGTGGATCAGGGGGTACATATATAAATAATGACAGTTGTTCTTTCTATGCGAGCGTATACGTTTTAAATGTGAGATCAGCCAATCACCTACATGTACGCCCTACCTCAATCCTCCCTAAATAACCCTCGTCTGATTGGCTAACTTATGTCTGCACTACTCGGCTTTGTAAATTTTGTTCTCATCTAGCTCTACAGTACTCGTAATAGAAAAGATGTTTGTATCATGTCTTGTTTCCTCACATGAAATTTGAAACTCGATAACTGGAAATTTAACAATGAACTGGGTTTGAAGTTTTTTTTAGTTGGAAATTTTAATACCGACTCTCTGTTGATATGTTCATCGAATTGTTGTTCATTATAATTGTGTTCAAGGCATTCACATCTCGCCATTTACCTTTCCCTGGATTGACTTCATACAGAGTATTTTGGGACAGTTTGCATAAGATTCAACAATTTACTGGAATTACATGTTCATTAACGATGGCGAGATGACAACGATCAGCACTGAGATTGCATCGTGATGTTGGTCGTACAGATACAGATGCCGCCGCCTCTGTATTTCAGTCGCCTGGTGATATTCAGCATACGCTTATCCTGAATATGACAATATCCTGCATTGAATCGCTTTTTAGAATTATATATCAGTCAGTCCACATCTGGTGTTACAGAGACTTTGTGGATGCAATTTCAAATAAAAATGTCAACCCTGTATTTGTGTCATCACTGTGTGTTAATTAGGGTGATAAGTGTATGTTAGAAGTATTGATAATCCTATGATTTACCGTGGTGTTTCAGTGAAACACCGTCACTATGATCAGTCGCAAGGTTCAACTTAAGTCGGGTTTTAGACAGAAACACCAAGGCAAATGCGTCAAGACAATTGTATTCATTTATATAAAAACAAAACGTTCTAAGCAGTGAATGTATTCAAACATTCATTTGTAATAAAATCTGAAAGAATTATAGGACACTTGTTTACCTCTAAAGTTCAAAACCACTTGATCATATGGAAAAAATAAGTTTGTGATTCACAAATCTGAATATGCATCAAAAAATGGAGGTGTTATTAATATGCATATAAGATTACAACCAGAGGTACAATACTTAGGGTTTGCAACTACGGTGACATGATACCAAGATCCAGTTTCAATCTCGCTCTCGCATAAGCGTTGCAACTCAGAAAAATGCAAATGCGCATGCCTGAGGCAACTAGGGTACTGGGATGTCCAGGTGGATTAAAATAGCTGCTCACGATATGACGGATTACGATAACTATATTTTATGTACATTTTCAATGTACTGTAGAATACTTTATTTTTGCTTGGAATTTATTTTCGCTGAAGGGATGATTCCGTGAAAATAAAATCCAGCGAATATACTTTTTTTCCTATATTTCACATTAAACTCATCAAAAATCAGTGAAAATAAATTCCATACACAACACCCAGAAAGCCTTTTCAGCGAAAATTAATTCCAGCGAAAATAAAGTATTCCACAGTATTACATTTTTTCACTAGGAATGTGGTAATACATGTTTCATTACAAACTGCCTATGTCATGTCAGAAGGTCGTAGCATCAGTCTCGCTATCTACGAGATGAGACTTGAATGGGATCTTGGCATGATGTCACCATACAGTACTATGCGCGTTGCAAACCCCAAGTAATGTACCTCTGTTACAACTTAAGGGGTTAGAATACGTTCGCTGGTTCAATTTTTTGGCCTCAATTTACAGACTGAAACATACATTTTACCCATACATGTTATATACCATAATAAAGATCTTGTTTCAAACTTTGGAAATATGGCATTTTTTTTTAAATTATGCAAATACCAAGTCACGTGATCACAAGAATACGCGAAAATGGAGTAAAACGGTTAATGACACAATTAATAATTAATTTGCAGCACGACTGAATATATTTTTTTATGTAAATATTATAGAGGGGTGCTTCATGTACAATGTTCTTCGTTTTTTTGCAACTATAATTTGTTTTTATGTAGCCTTATTTCAAATGTTTGAACGTTAATACCTGAGTAAAAACAACATGTCTCTATATAAAAATAAGCAAAAAATCAAAACGAAGGCAGAACATTCCTCCAGTACTCTATATAGCGGTAAAGTTGACCAAAAATGGCGACGATCTGACCTTTCGTTTGTTAGAAATTGCGTACTGAATCTGTAGAACTACGTAGAAATCAATTTCAAGATAAACGCAAAAAACGCCCAAGGTCAATGAATCTCAAACTAGGCCTAAAAAATTTGAAAAATATGGAGTTATAATTATTGAAAC